GTGGTCCCCAAGCGCTTAGCTTGGGCCTGAGCAAGTTAACAACCGCAATAGCTGCAACTCAACACCCAGGGATAAATTTATCCCATCCTGTCCTTAAAGGTCAGAGCCGGGGGAGAAGGAGTGGGGATCAGAGAGGCTCCTAAGAGCGGTTCTCTGTGGGCTTCCGGCCTCTCGTATTGTAGTGGGTTCTGAATGTCGTTTCCTCCCCTGCCTCCTCCCCACTGTACACCCTGGCAGGCAGTCCCCACTTCCCACCAGCACCCCACTGGGGTGAACCCCTCTTATGCCTGGCTCCACTCTCACCTTCTCCCTGAGTCCAGGTGTCCACCCCTGGCTCCGTGGATGAGGGAGGAGAGAGGAGATGACACACACAGGGCCACTAACGGTCAGGCAGGGGGGTGAGGAGGAGGAAGAGGCCAAAATTTGGCACAGCAGCTGCTGCAGTGCCTGGCGCCTGCCAAAAAGGCCCAGGCCTGAGAGGTGGGGCCGGAGGAGGAGAGGTGCCCTGTCCGTGGTGCTGACGGGCCATGCTGGGTGACCCACAGGCAGCTGTGAGTTGCCTGTGAGGCGCCATGATGTTTCCTCCTGGTTCTGGCCCCGCATCCCTTTTCGGGTGGCCACTGAGCCCCAGGGGACATCGTCTGGAAGACCCTGACCTGGAGGTGCCCCTCAACTCCCATTGCGTCTTCCCTGAAGACGGTTCCCTCCTCTGTGGTGTGAGGCAGCGTCCCTTCCTGGAAGGGCTGCAGTGAGGAGTTGATAAGTGGCAGATGCCTAGGACAGTTCTCAGGCTCTTAGGTAGTCACTGCTTGACTCTCTTCAGACCCTGCCCAGTGACTTGGCTTCTTCCTGCCTTCTCCCCCACCCCTTCCCAACCTGGTCCAAGATGAGCCCAGGCTCCAGGCATTTCCTCCCCCATAGAGGTCACCTTTTGGCTCTTGCATTCTCACCCCCCTCAGGTCCCTTCCCCCATGTGTTCTTGTCCCTCCTACCCCCTTTAATCCTCAGGTAGGTGGGAAGAATCCGGGTTAATCCAGGGGCAACAGCTGTTCCTCCTTCTGAGCACCTAATTGCTGAGAGGGTGGAGACCGGATTTAACACTTCACATGAAGCTTGAGGCCTGATGGCCACTCCTAACCCTCCCCCACAGCCCAGTGGTGCCATCTCCCCTCATGTCTGCAAGGCCAGCTCTCTGGGCCACTCCCTGCTGTAACTTCTCATGGGCCAGTTGGGTCCCTTTCTGCTCTGCATCTCCCCTCTCCTCTCCCCCTGCCTCCTGACCACAGTTCCAGCACCACTATACCTGGGTCTCAGGATCTCCTGGCCATACACTCATTCCTGCTGGCGAGAGGGCGGCCTCCCCCGCCCCATGCCCTTAGCAGGCTTCAGCCCCAGCTTCTCCACTGCTCCCCTCAGTACACCTCATGTTTGCTCTTGGCTCTTTCTCTGTGTCACTTCTGTCTGATGCTGCTGTTGTCCCCCCATCTAGTTGGGTGAGTTCCCCTGGGCCTGCCTTTCTGACCTCACACCCCGCCTTAGACCTGGCTCAGGACTTCAGGATTCAAGAGAAGGTGCCAATGTGCTGACTCAAGAAGAAAAATGCAATGTTGCATATTCATGCACTTCTCATTTTTGTTTACGCTCAAAGTTTGTGGAACTTTCTCTGTCCTTGCCTCCTTTTGCTCAGCATTTTCTCCTTAATGCTTGGCCGTACCTGAAAAAACAAGTGGTTGGGCCATAGTCAGGCAGGACAAGCTGCACTCACAAGATCTCTAACTTGCCAACAAGACCTATCTCTGCCACTTCTCGAATCTTCCAAGGACAGTGGGGCTGAGCGTGAGGGCTGTGGAGCCAGACTTCTCATGGTTTCTTCCTTGGCCGGGTTACCTGGCCTCCCTATGACTCGGTTTCCTCGTCTGGAAAGTGAGGATGCTAACCATACCTACATTGTGTAGGGTTTTTGTGGGTAGTAAATAAGTGTATGCTTGCCGAAGGTTCAGGATGTCAGACCAGTGCCTGCACATAGGAAGTGGGCGGTCCGTGTTCAGCCACACGACCTCTCCTGTTGCTCTTACCCCGTCTGCTATTATTTGTCCCCAGCCTCAGCTGTCTCCCATACCTTGCCTGAGCTTGTTTCCTCACTCCGCCTCTGCCCTTTGGTCTGTGGTTGTCTTCTGGTCTCTTTGTTTTTTCTCCCACTGTCTTGCAGAGAGAGAGAGAGAGAGAGAGAGAGAGAGAGAGGAACAGAGGAACACGTGTGGGTTCTGAGGTCCACCGGGTTTGAATCCCAGCACTAGCACTTTACTAGCTGCATGACTGTGCGGTCTGGCGCAGGATCCTCACCCTCTCTCCTTGGTTCCGTTTTCTGTAACCGGAGACTCCCCTTCTGCCTCAGGGCCGTTGTGCAGATCACTTGAGGTCTGACGCCTGCTCACTGTCCCTTCCCTTTCCTCCTTGATCCCGTCTCTGCCCAACAGACACTGGCTCTCCTCCGCCTACACGCAATTTGCGGTGCCCTACTTCATCTATGACATCTACGCCATGTTCCTCTGCCACTGGCACAAGCACCAGGTCAAAGGGCACGGAGGGGACGACGGAGGGGCCAGAGCCCCGGGCAGCACCTGGGCCGTGGCGCGTGGCTACTTGCACAAGGAATTCCTTATGGTGCTCCACCATGCCGTCATGGTGCTGGTGTGCTTCCCGCTCTCGGTGGTGAGTCCGTGGGGAGTCACCAGGCCGGGGGTGCTGGGATCACGGCAGGAGCCTGGGCAGCCCCAGCTCTGGTACTGGCAGCGGCACCCTAGGGCCCAGGGGAAGCTGATGACAGGAAGGGCTTCCCAAGCACCAGCCCAGCCCCAACTGCTGAAGGCCACAGCGTCTAGAGTCAGCCTGGCTGGGCTGGAGCATGCCCGGCTGTGGTGCTTCAGAGATGTTGTTGCATGTCTCTGAACCTCCGTTCTCTCAACTGTCGTGTGAGAAATCCAGTCTTCCCTGCGGGGCTGTTGGAGGGATACTGCGGGGCCACGGTCCAGCTTTGCTCCTGTCCCCGTGTGTTCTGACATTCAGCGCTGAGCATCTCCAAAAGTGACAGAGGGAGGAGGAAGGGCAGGGGCTGCCCGGGAGCCCGGGGGAGCTGCGGCCCCCTCACGGGTCTCCTTCTCCGCTCAGGTGTGGCGACAGGGCAAGGGCGATTTCTTTCTAGGCTGCATGCTGATGGCGGAGGTCAGCACGCCCTTCGTCTGCCTCGGCAAGATCCTCATCCAG